CCCACTGCAGAATCCAAGCTTCGCCCCGGCCTACAGCAGATCACTGGCACGTTCACCTCATACTGCTGAGGGTGAAGATTTTCAGAGCACTTGTGTCCAGCAAAGTGGCTGGAGCTGATGTACAAAAGAGGCTTGCGATGGGTGATCAGAAGCCGGAATATGTTCTGAGCCTGCCAAACGGGATCATGTTTAAAAAAAACCAAAACACCCAAGTTGCCAGGGTGCTGCTTCCCTGGGAATGGAAGGGTTTGTGCAAAAGACTGGCGGTCATCAGGCGGGGCAGCAGCCGAGCAGTGCTAAAATAACCTTAACTTGGTCTGCGTGCGTCTCCCCTTGGGGTACTCTCTGGGGCAGGGACCGGAAAGCACAGCGCACATCGTAAATAAGGGACACAAGTGAGGGGGCTTATGAAGCCAGGCTCTGCTACTCTCTGGAGAGCAAACCCAGCCCGCTCCCTCTGCTGCCCCCACCCAACACTTCCCATCGGTTCTCCCTGTGCCCACTGCAGGCACCTTGCCTAGCATGGTCACTTCTGCTCTGGTCCCGCTCTGGCGCTATCCTTCCCTGGGACTGAACCCTGTCTCCCTCGCTCTGGCATCCCTCCCTGCAATGGAGATCAGAGTAGCTTTCAATCCCCTCCCCACCTCTGGCTCTCACTACAGCCAGCTAACATCCCAATCACACTGGTCCCGCCTCTACTGATGTCTTCCACCCCGGACAGAAACTTGGTCATACTCCCCACACTAAGCCCCTGCCTGCAATATACTCCCCATTCCCCGCTCTCAGCCCCTCCTGCAATATATCCTTACTCCGCTCCAGCTTCCTCCCACAGCAATCCGTCAGTCAATGCCACTTCCATCCACGGCTGGCTTTACTGCCACTACCCAGGAAGCTGCGGCGCTCCGTCCGAGCTGAGCTGAAGAGTATTTGGCACGAATGGTGTGACGGCTTGTTGTATTTTGCCCAGCATATTTCAGCAATGTTACTTACTCCCCTTCTATGTCCCTTGGGAAGAAATCCCCCCCCGCCCAATCATCAAGGACCGACCATCATAGCCCCCAGAGGAAGCTGTCCCTGGAGCCAGGGTTTCTGAGAGTTAAGAGATACACAGCTGTGCCAAAGAATTCCTGTATCAAGGAGATCATCTAAGCCCAAGACTGGAAGATGAGGGAGAGTGATTTCTGCCCTCATAGAGATCCAGAATCACGTGTAGCATGAATGGACATAGGGGTTGTGTGGGGTGCAGTGGGACTGTGGCTCTAGCCTCCCCCTTTTTGTGGCTTAGGGCACCAATAAAATGAGTTTGGTGGACCTCACTAGTCCTCTATTCGCTCACATCACAAAGCCAGCACATACTATGGGAAGACTGGCCAGTCTGGCCAAGAATGGCCCAGAGGATTGAGCTAGCAGGGGTCAATCAGCCTGCCCTGAAGTGTATTGGTGCACTACAGATCGGCTGCATGGCACCCGTTTGCACTCTGCCTAGCTCAAGCTACTTCCCTACAACCCCCTCCCAATTACGCATTTTGCTCTGGCTATCCTTAGACAGTTTGCCAAATACCAGGCCATCCGCTATGCAGAAAGCTAGCTATCGCCACGCTCTTCCCTGGCTGCAGGAGTCTGGCCATGTGCTGAAGGCTGTGCACCATAGCAAGGTCCTTCCACCTGGCTAGCATCAGACAATTTATTCCCCTCATCTTTGCTATGCCAATGGGAGCTGGTCTTCCCACAGGCAACGCAAGCGACAAATGGGACGTCATGGGCCACGCAGCGCAGGTCCTTAAAAGGCAGCTCCAAGTTCATTACATTTGGAGACGCTGTAAGAGCACAGCTAGCCTTATGTCATGGGAGAACAAAGCATCTAAATAAAAGTCAATCTGGGAACGAACTCAGGAAAAGGGACGCTGCTTTCCTGAGCGCAACCAGTGAATGGTTGGAGGAAGCCAATCTCAATGGCAGGGAAACGACTGCATAAACACATCCCGGGGAAAACATGAGAAAGGAAACAAGAGCATGAACGTGGAACAGCCCAGGCCCCTTCCCTTCCCCCACACCCCTCACCACTTTCTTAGGAATGGGTGGCAAGCTTGGCTCAAAAATAGCCACACTGCGTGAACAATGGAAACATGCTACGACTTTCTGGACTTGCAAGAGTGCCTGACTTAGTGACCTATACCCACCAACAGGTACCCGAGCACTCAGGGACACTGGAGTCCTCAGCTTCCTTACCCTGGGCAGGCAGCTCCTCTCCTCCTATCCCCACAGCTCCCTAATGGCTTTTCAGTCTAGCCTTCTCCTATCATAACAAATCACACAGGAAAACCATCAGCTAGAGCTCTACTGGCCCCCCCCACCAATACTGAAGTTGCAGCAGTGTCCTACCTGTAAAGCTTCAGTAGTCTGAGCAGATGGCTGCAGTACATGCATCTGCTTCATGCCTAGAGGAAGTGGTACGCTCATCTCTTTGGTTTGGGGGGGGGGGGAGATTTGATTTTCCAACAATCAGGACATCACGTTTGCATCTATTCTGACCAGCTTGTGCGGGCAAGTAGCAGGGAACCAGCACACCCTGCAGACAGAGGCTTTGTCACCGGGCTCTATCCCAGCGGAGTGCTAGGGAAATTTGAGCAGAAGCAACACAACCCCAGCAGTGAGATGGGACCCATGCAGCCACTAAGGAGCATATCCACATAGACCAAAGATTTTCTATTAATCACGCTCCAAAAGGCCTTTTCAAAAGGCCATAATGTTACAAATTCAAACCCCAGAGCGTCCTAGCCTAGCAGCAACCCTTCACCTCGCTAAGGACTAATCCTGTGCTAAATCTGAACAGGCAGTCATTGGAGCTGTGTGTGAAACATGCGGGCAGTCACAATAAGGAGAGGGCGGTATTGCCACCCGTATAGAACTCCAGTGAAACCAAAACACAATTGGCTCAAATCCCCCCTTTCAAAAAAGTTTACTTTTGGGCAAAAGCCAGATCATGAGAATTTCAGCCCAAAAGGAGTAATCTGCCAGAAAGTTATAAACAAGTGAGAACAGGTTTACAAAAGGAGAGCAACCCGAACTATAGCACCCACTATTAGCAACCATTATACATGCATCCTGCGTACCCTACACACACAACACTGTAGCGACTTGCACTCTAGATACAGAAAACAGCTAGACACGGATGTAGCCAGATTCTTCCAAACCCTTGATTTTTTTTGTACTATGCTTGAATAATTGAAGCCTAGTTTCTGTTCCAGTTAAAGGGGCCATGCAGTCTTCAGGATATGTGCCATACTGCGGGCTATTTTTAGATAATCCACAAGGAAGGAAACCTCAGACAGCCATCATCAGCATGATCTAAAATGCAGCTTTGCAGCTGTTTGGCCAAGGCTGCATAAGCGACTCCACCCACACAGTGTCAATCTCGGACATAGAGACAGGATCACTAGCACTCGCAAAGCACTGCATTAGGTTTCAAAAGTCACAAAAACCTCTCACGAGGAGGCAGTGTTGGCTCTCACCAGACTAGCTCATTAGGCACGTCAGTCCTTCTACGACTACGGGCCTGCACCCGGGAAGCAGGGAGGGTTGTGTTAGCTGAAATAGTGCAACAATTCTAGAGGGGTCTAAGTAGGCTTTTGGGCCCAGACTTTACTGGCAATGAGGCAGTCTGTGGACATCGAGGAAGAGAAGGCAGGGAGGCAGAAGGGCACGTAGGTGGCTGCACCACTCTTTATTAGCATTTGTGCAAAGTGCCATGGATGTGCATGGCTCTTTACAGAGAGACCAGACAGCCCCTACCCGGAGACGCTGACAATCTAACTTCAGCAGGAAATGCCTGGCTCTGAGGATGCAGGAATGTGCTCATGCAGGCTATGGCTACCCTAGGAGCTAGGGGTGTGATTCCACTACTCACACACGGGCTCACGCTAGCTCAGCTATAAATAGTGTAGCCGCAGTAGCACGGAGAGTGGCAGCGGAGGCACAGCTGAGCATCTCCTCACCAGTTCCAGGCGGACGTGTACTCAGTATGGCTCATCCCAATGAGAGGTAGCGCAAGTGAGAGTCCAGGAGCAGGGAATCACCCCCCTCGCCTGTAGTCCTGAGGCAGCTCCACAGAACTGCAGCACGAGAGGGGAGTGAGATGGAAGGGTCTGGAGGAGCTGAACTGCTGTTTGGGGAAGCGGGTGGATTCCAGAGGTACATGAACAATTGTAAATGACATTTTCTATAAAACCTCAAAATATGAAGATTCCCCTCCTCCAGTTTTAACATTTCACCTGTCCTGGCTCTCGGGACAACGTACAACTTCATTTTACAGAGAGACATTCCCAGTGTCCTTGGCTTCATCTCTGTGTAACATGATGGACACGGGCCAAAACGTTTTCAAGTGGGGCCTTTACATTTTGGGTGCCTCCATTTTTGGAAGCCTCCAGCTTAACATCCTGGACCTTGCCCATCTAGTGCATTTTCTGTGAGGCTCAGAAACTGGGGAAAAAATCAAGGTGGCTTAAACTGGGCACAGGTACATTTTAAAGTTTGTGGCCTCTATATTTATATGGCATCTGACTGACGAATGGCTCAGCTCACTGCTCCTCCTTCCCCAGCTCTCCTTTCTATAATCAGGAGAGTTTAATTTGTTCTATTTTGGGCACTGACTTAATTCTGAAAAAAGTCAATTCCATTCAAGTGTGGCAATAATGTGATCAGTCTATCAGATATCAACATATCGCAGGAACCGTGGATTGCTTTCGTGGCTGAATCCACAGATGGGTAGATAGGATCTGAAGTAGATTGCCATGAAGCAGCTGGAGGACATACTCTTCTGCATCCCAAAATACTCGAGTGATGTGGGGGCTGGAACTGGTATTACTCCAAGAGAGTCCCTCTCCGCCAGACCAAATCGGACAGGTGCCACTTTGCCTCAAGGGAAATGAAGCAACTAGGAAGTGAGAGGATGCCTAGCAATTTAGATCACTGTCAGGAAGGTGCGGATGGAGGGCACTTACCAGAGGAGCTCAGCTGGCTGGCTTTGACGGGAATGTGCAACTCCGATCGCATATCAGAGCCATCACATGGCCCCTGATCTTCTGTTTGACCTGCAGGAGAGGAGGCGATCTCAGCCAAAACTTCTAGGTCCTTCAGGATAACCTGGTAAGAGGCACAGACAGCACAGAGGTGAGCAATGACAATGCACCATGGCGAGTCTGCAGAGGTGGCAGGAGATTAGAGACTTCGAGCCCTTTCTTTTTGAAGTGATTGAAAGCAGATCGGATCCAAAAGGCCAACCCTAACCCTACTGACATGGACCAGGTAGAAGTGGGGAGGCTAGGACTCCTCCTTACAGTGAAATCATAGAATCACAGAATAGCAAGGTTGGAAGGGACCTCTGGAGGTCATCTTGTCCGACCCCCTGCTCACAGCAGGACCAACACCAACTAAATCATCTCAGCCAGGGCTTTGTCAAACCTGAACTTAAAAACCTCTAAGGAAGGCGATTCCACCACCTCCCTAGGTAACCCATTCCAGTGCTTCAACAACCTCCTAGTGAAAAAGTTTTTTCTAATATCCAACCTAAACCTCCCCCATTGCAACTTGAGACCATTACTCCTTGTTCTGTCATCTGGTACCACTGAGAACAGTCTAGATCCATCCTCTTTCGAACCCCCTTTCAGGTAGTTGAAAGCAGCTATCAAATCCCCCCTCATTCTTCTCTTCTGCAGACTAAACAATCCCAGTTCCCTCAGCCTCTCCACATAAGTCATGTGTTCCAGCCCCCTAATCATTTTTGTTGCCCTCCGCTGGACTCTTTCCAATTTTTCCACATCCTTCTTGTAGTGTGGGGCCCAAAACCGGACACAGTACTCCAGATGAGGCCTCACCAATGTCGAATAGAGGAGAATGATAACGTCCCTCGATCTGGCAATGCTCCTACTTATACAGCCCAAAATGCCGTTAGTCTTCTTGGCAACAAGGGTACACTGTCGACTCATATCCAGCTTCTTGTCCACTGTAACCCCTAGGTCCTTTTCTGCAGAACTGCTGGCTAGCCATTCGGTCCCTAGTCTGTAGCGGTGCATGGGATTCTTTCGTCCCAAGTGCAGGACTTTGCACTTGTCCTTGTTGAACCTCAGATTTCTTTTGGCCCAATCCTCTAATTTGTCTAGGTCCCTCTGTATCCTATCCCTACCCTCCAGCGTATCTACCAGTCCTCCCAGTTTAGTGTCATCGGCAAACTTGCTGAGGGTGCAGTCCACACCATCCTCCAGATCATTAATGAAGACATTGAACAAAACTGGCTCCAGGACCGACCCTTGGGGCACTCCGCTTGATACCGGCTGCCAACTAGACATGGAGCCATTGATCACTACCCGTTGAGCCCGACGATCTAGCCAGCTTTCTATCCACCTTATAGTCCATTCATCCAGCCCATACTACTTTAACTTGCCGGCAAGAATACGTGAAGTTCCTGGCATACACCTGCCAAGGAGAAGGGCGGGGCAGAGATAGGGAAGATCTATTGTGTGACTGCAAAGGGGCAGGTGACCATTAAACTTGGGCCAAACTTCTACAGTCAGCACCAACTAGACCAGGACTTGCTGCCCTCCACCCAGAGTATATCTGGTAAAAGCCAATGGTTTTACTTCTCAGCTTCACTTCACAAGAGAAGTGAAAAGTTCAGGTAAAGGAGGTAACTGGACGAGACATTTTCCCAGCATGCAATGAATGTTGCAAACCAGCCTGGACAGCCAGCAATGTTACTGGAGGGAGGCATGGGAAATCTGTGCTGGGGATTTCCAGGCACTCTGCAGCCAACCACAGAGTTCTGCTATTCTTGAATGTAGTTTTCATCTAAACAGGAGCTAGCAACCATTTTGTTTGCAAGGAAAGTCTTTCAGGTACCAGCCAATGCAGTGCCATCTCACTGAGCAGAATGACAGCTTAGAGAGCTATGAATTGTGCCAATTAATCTCAATGGATCGACTCCGAAGACTGTTTAAAATGGCAACATTAATCCAGTGCTGATCAACTCAAAAGAAACTTCTAGCTAATGGGCTTATCTAGCATTGGACACCTCACTTATCTGAAAAGGAGTTTATGTTGGATTGAGGCTGAACGCTTTAACAATGAACGTAACAGCTTTATCAAACACTGGTCATTCTCTGCACAGGACTTCCCCATCACCCGCTCTCCTCTCTACCCCACCACAGTGGTCATTTACAAGATTATGAGGAAAATTACGGTTTTCTACAATTGTCCTCATGTCCCAACCAGTAATAATGGATCTTTCTCCATCCCTAGCTGTTTTATTGGTCACCTCCCTCTCTCTCACCATCCTCCTCCTTACTGGAGATTTGTAAAGCATGGAAACAACTTGAGACACAGGCTGTTGCCTTTGGGGAGCCCTGCTGCACCGACCAGCACGCAGGCACTGGGCAGAGTGGATCCCACATACACCATCCAGAGTGTTGCCACCTCTTGCTATTTTATTCTCGGAGTATTTGGCATTTTACTTACATATTTACAGCTCCTGGAGTCATGTGATTATTTGGGAATTTCAGCTTTTATTAATAGTATAATCCTTATGGCTGCAGAGAAGAGCTTGAAAAGTGACCCAAAAAACTCAAAAGCCAGAAGGCAAATGAAGACCCCAAATGTATTTTTTTTTAAATCATGAATTTTAAGCCTCTTGTGATTTTTGAAGTCTTGGGGGTGGCAATCCTGTGTCTCAGAGTGCTTAGACAATAAAGTTGCAGGGCACTCAGGCAGTGGGCACCGCCCCCATTTCACAGATGGGGAAAATTAGGTGCCAAGACTCAGGCTTGAAGGCCAGAAGGGACCATTGTGATCATCTAGTCTGACCTCCTGCACATTGCAGGCCAGAGAACCTCACCCACCCACTTCTGTAACAGACCCCTAACCTCTGGCTGAGTTTTCGCCATCCTCAAATCATGATTTAAAGTCTTCAAGTTACAGAGAATCTGCCATTCACTCTAGTTCAAACCAGCAACTGAGACAAACCCCATGCTACAGGAAAGGTAAAACTCCCCCCCCCCCCCCCCCCCCGGGCCTCGCCAACCTGGCCCGGGGGGAAATTCCTTTCCAACCCCAAATCTGGCAATCAGTTAGACCCTGACCATGTGGGCAAGACCCACCAGCCAGACACCTGGGAAAGAATTCTCTGTAGTAACTCAGAGCCCTCCCCATCTAGTGCCCTATCTCCAGCTGCTAACAGAAGTCATGGATGGGCCATATGCCATTGTAGGCAACCTCAGTGACTTGTATGAAGAATCAGGACGAGAATCCAGTTCTTCTGATTTTCAGTCCTGGACTTTGTCCTCTTCTAAGCCATCCATCTCCCTTAGCCTCAGACCAACTTCCTGCACAACACAGCATTTCTCAGACAGGTTCTCAGGGCTTGTCTACACGGTAAGCTCGTGTGTGGAAAGCCAGGGGGTGACTCTCCAGCTCATCAGCTTGCTGCACAGTCATGTCCCATGCAGACAAGCCCTCAGAGTCTCAGCCAGAGCCGCCCTGAGCAGATGCGGGAGACAAGACAAGCTGATTTGGGGAATGCAAATAGCAGCTCTCTCCTGATTACAGCTTCTGTTTCCTTTACAAAGGCCTAAGGAAAGTACGCAGATGAACAGGCACAGCCCTCCTCTCACCCACTTGTAATTGGCCAATGCTACCAGAAGCAGCTCTGCTCACCAGCACTCTTGTGCACTGAAGTAGGCAGCACTCTACAAAACAAACCCTGGCTGAAACCATTCCCTCTTAGTGCTTGCCAGAGGCTGGGAAGGAGTAGGGGCCAGAAAACAGAGCACCCTCTGGGCTCAGATCTCACTGAACAGATGCGGCCCCTCCAACCAACTCCCATCCCTGCTGGGCCATGTGGATTTCCAGCTCAGCAGGAAGGATGTTCAAGTGGCTCAGAGGGAGGGGAGAAACACACCCACATTTGGTTTAGCCTTCGCGGCTGTGTACAGAGAGCGTATTAACCTACAGAGACCAGAGCTTGGGAAACTGGGAAAAACAAAAGGCTCCAATACACATGGGAGGTCTCTGCACACACAAACATTGTTAAGTAACTCCATGCAACTCCCTCCGGGGGAAAATAAAGGACAACAACAATCTTAGCACTAGAGAGCAAGGAGAGGAGAGAGAAAGCAAGGCCCAACACGGCTGTGTGGTCAATACTGTGGTAATGATAGAGCCAAGGCTGGGATAGCACGGCACAGTCCTTTCAAGCCCCATTTTAAAACAATGTCCTTTTGGGGCTGAGATTTCTCATGTGTTGGCCCAACTCCGGAACAATTTATTTGGGGGTGGCTGCAGGGCAGAAGTCAGGTCTCAAAGCTAATCAGTCCTTTTGGAGTCATCCATACAGAGGAATATCCGCTGCACATTTTCACCTAGTTTCTCAGTCTTTTGGGGGCTCAAATCACTCCAGGCCTGTCTACACTACAGCCTATGTCGCTATAACTTATGTCGCTCAGGGATGTGAATAAGCCGCCCCCCCAAGCAACGTAAGCTACACCGACCTAAGAGCCTCTTGCGGAGGTGGTTTTATTAGGCTGACGGGAGAGCACTGTCCTGTCAGCATAAAGCGTCTTCACCAGACGTGCTACAGCTGTGCTGCTGTAGTGCTTCTAATGTAGATTAGCCCTCAGATATGGCTTTGTTTAAAGATAGGAAAGTGACTCAGCTCAGGTGCCATCCGGAACGAGGAGTGTGTGAGCAAGAGCTGCCCTCTAGCTAGTGAGGACACGGTATCTGGAAATGGAAGTTACCAGAGTTTAAGAACAGTGCTCCAAAGTCATCCCAGGTCTGTTGGAAGCCAACAAGGTCTCCCATTGACTTGAGGGCCTGGTCCCACAGTACATGCCCCAAAAGACCACCACCTTCCACAGGGAGTTAAACACAAAAAGTTCCAATGACTCGTGGCGGCCGGGAGCTGTGGGGTACCCGCACCGCCTGCGGCAGCTTGGAGCTCCAGGGGCCGCCAGAGGCAGTGGGATACCCCGCAGCTCCCTGCCCTGTGGGCGGCAGGTGATGCTGCAGCTCCCGACCGCCACAGACTGAAGTCACGGAGGTCGCTGGATGTCACGGATTCCACGACCTCTGTGACTAAATCATAGCCGTATGCC